TTGTCAGCAGGCTTTTATTTCTCCCCTACCTTTTCCAATGAGTTCTTTCAGCTGTTTGGAATGGAGATTTTTGGCCTTTATAAGTACCACAAGCAGGCGATTTGCTGCAGGCAAATAGCTGATAGAAAGCAGAACTTCTCCATAGCCTGCATCTGGTTCCTGCAGTTCAGGGAGACAAAGAGAAAAGGAATGCACAATATATTTCCTACTTTTGTCTACGCAAAGGAGATGACTGACGACCACAGGTATATGGAAAAAACAAAAGACTGTAAAATATAAAAAGTGAATGCGCCTCACAAAACACACTTTCATTTTGCATCAAGATGTAAGGATCAATACACATTTCATCTTTCTTCCAGGGTAGGTTTTTGTTTTTTGTTTATATTAGCCTGTGGTGAGGTCTAAACAGGGAATCTGCAGAACTAAAATAAATGCTGTGATAACAGTGGTTGGAAATCACACTACAAAGCTGCAAACTATGGGTTATTTTTTGGTAGCATCTTAAAGGTATTTTAAAGATATGAAGGCCATGGAGAGTGCAGCTACTTAGTAACTGTGGATGCATGTTTCCTAGCAACCAGGTGGAAAAGGGAGCTTTCCTTCTGAAGTTCATTGGGTATAAAAAGGGGAACATTTCTGGTGTACTTAACAGTAGCATTTTCTTGATTTTCTCTTTTACTTAAGCAGATTGTTCTATGTTTGAAATATCATTCTGCAACAGTGCTACAATTTATTCAACCTACTGATTAAAGTTTTGGCACCTCTGCAGTTTTGCCCAGAATCCCACATTCCTTCATACTGTAGTTCTGCAAAAATACTGAAGACACCAAGAGAATATGCAGACTGGAAGCATTTTGTCACTGCAACTCAGAGCATGGTGTGATTTAATCAGAGCAATACAGAGAGAAATATTGTCCTTTTCTGTCTTGTTGTATGTTGTACTGGTGTACTAGTGTGCTGTTATTTGACAATTCTGGCACTAGCAAGAAAGAAAAAGAGTGCCTACAGTGTCTGCATATCCTAGGATGATCCTGTAATTGAAGGGCCATCAAAGAAAGTTCTTATCTGAAGGTGTCTTCTACTGTCCAGTCCAAACTTAATTTAATGAGAAAGACCAGGAAGAGGTAAAATCAGGAGCAGTGACACTGTGCATCAACAGTTGAACCTGGGTAGTAGATTGAACAGGTATTGAAGAGTCTACTGGTCACACTTTTCAGCACAGTGATTTCTAAATCCAAATTATGCTATTTCTAAATTTCAATCTACTCATGTAAAGTATTTCTTTTTTAGAGGTCGGTGTCCTTCTTAGCTGTTGATGACAAATTTTATCACTTTTGAAATGAGTAAATTCCATTCCTTGCTACAGTAATAGCAATTAACAAGTGTTATGCAGGGTAACCATAATATATTCTCCAGTACTGAGAATAAGAAGAAACAGCATTTTTCAGGTAAAGCATCATGATTCTGTCGTGTTTGTATGGTAAACGCCTACACTGATTTACAGCAAGGGGAGGGAACTGCTGGATTTCAAGTACAGTTTGTCCTGAAGGGTCTTAAATAAGTTCCTTTCTGTGCCTCATCTTCCTCAGCAGCAAAAATCAGGCTTGCAGGCAGAACAACTAGATGACTCACAAGTACACTTCTGATTCATTCGCCCCATCTCTCACTTCTTCAGAAGAGGCTAGGTGGGTGGTCAAAGTACATTTCTGTCATTGTACACTTCAGAGGAAGTGGTGAACTGACACTGCATGGAGAAAAATGGTTCCATGCAGAATATGGAGTGATGGCTCTCTACCTCTCTTGGGTAGAGTCCTTTGGGGTGGGGTCTCCCTTTCCAAAGCTTCAAAACCTGACGTCACCTCAAAATCTGACAAGTGAAATGAAGTCTTGGATCCAGTTTCCCAGATTAGATTTAGTTCCTCCAATTTATAGTTAGTCATACAAATAAAATCCATCTAACTTAATTTTCATTGACTAGGAATCAAATGTTGTTGAAAATTATCTATCTATCTATCTATCTATCTATCTATCTATCTATCTATCTTATCTCATGCATATCTGTTGCCCCTTTTCAAGGGTGAGATAAGACTTATAGAAGGCTCTTAGAAAAAAATGGGAACTACTAGGGAAAGCAGTAAATTTTCTCTCAGAATACTGCAATAACTGTGGCATTAACAGAGAATAAAACAAGCAGTGCTGCTAGGAAGCTGAATATATATTTAGGGAGGCTAGATTGGAAGATGAGGATGGTTTTAAAGCAGGAGGGAGAAGCATCAATAATGTGCACTATTCTGATTGCTGAAAATGCGAAAGATCTGTAAGTTCTTGTCAAGGACACAGTAAAATTAATGGGCTAAGTTTAAATATATAGAAGACCAAACTAATGACAACAGGTACAGGAACCAGTCTTAGAACTGACAATGAAGATATTGAAGTGGTGGATAGCTTCTGTCTTTTAGGATTGACTATCAACAGTAAAGGAACCAGCAGTCAAGAAATACACCACACTTGTTAGGACATCAATGAAGACTTTTGAAAAAATACTCAGATGCCGTGACATGTCTATATCTACAAAGTTCAGTATCGTGCAGGCAATCGTGATATTCCATGGAAGCAAAAGTTGAACTTTAAAGAATCAGGACAGAAAGAGTATTGAAGCTTTTGAAATTTGGTGTTGGAGAAGACTCTTGAGAATACCATGGATATTCAAGAAAATAACCAAATGGATTATAGAACAAATCAATTCAGAGTTCTCATTCAAAGCATAAATGACCAGACTCAAATTATAACATTTTGGACACATTATGTGAAGACCTAGCTTTCTTGAGAAATCTGTGATGCTGAGAAAGATGGAAGGAAAGAGAAGAAGAGGACAATAACAGCAAGGCAGATGAACTTAATTACATCAGTGACGGGTGCACCATTGGAAGACTTGGAGGATCAGGCTTGGATCAGATCATCCTGGAGAAAGTCAATCTATGTATTCACTGACACCACCAACTTAATGGCATATACAGTAATCAAACCAATCCAATCAATACTGCTCACAAAATTATACTGCTACTATCATCATGGTCACCAGTGGCTGCAGACAAATACAATCCACCCAAACAAATGTATTAGTGAAACAAATAAGTATAATGCCAATAAATGAATAATGTTATGGCTGTAACTTTAACTATTTTAATGGAATATATTAGCAGTTTAGTAATGAAAACAAATACAATAATAAATTAAAACACACATAAACACTGCATACTTCTAACTTCTGGCTTATATTTTTACTGATGAACTGAGTCCAGATTGAATTATTGGCAAGCTTAGTAAAGAATAAATGGATGTCTGGGGAAAAGGTATGATACTAGACTGGATTTAGTGAATAATTCATCAACTCTTTAAATTTAATAATTCTTATAAACTTAATCTTACTTAACTTCTTTGCTGTAAGTTTCCTTTTGGCAATCTCTGAAATAAATGTCTTTACTTTCTTGAAACTTTTTAACGTTCTGGATGGCTACAGAATACTAGTGATTATTCTAAATTTCTCTTTTGTTTCCTAGTGATTGACATAGTAGTCTTTTCACCTGCCTGCATGCTTTTTCATTCATTCATTCATTCATTCATTCATTCATTCATTCATTCATTCATTCATCCATCCATCCTTCCATCCATCCATCCATCCATCCATCCATCCATTCATTCATTCATTCATTCATTCATTCATTCATTCATTCATTCATTCATCTTCCTCTCTGCACAAATCCTTGAAGGCAGAACACCACTGGCAATCAAAACATTTGCTTGTAATCCACCCAAACAGCTTTGTATTCAGCAAGTTAAAATGTATTTGTTGGTTGGTCTGAAAGTTATAGAGTAATGTAATAAGGGCTCAGTTAGTGGAAAGCAAGAGGGTGGATAGAAAGGTGAATCTATAAGAAGGGAAAGGAATAGAAAAGTAAAAGGAAACTGGAAATAAATATTCACTGTATTAATTCTAAGCACTGTATTAATTACCAGCACTTATTTTAATAACATCTAATAAGTTCATTCACAATTAGCCTTGGGACCCCCACTCCCTCTGTGTACTAGCAACCAAGTTATTTTCAGAATACCAACTATGATGTAGTTCATGCTATCATCCATCCACAAGAGGGAAATTTACCCTTACATACACTTTGGGAAATCCCCAAAGTATACATAAGGGTATAAAGTATTTAAGAATAAATCTGATGTCCTGTAAGGGCAGAATCTGTCCATAGGACTAGTGTCTTACATAACAAATAGAAACCAGAGAGTAAACAGGAAAAAGCTATTTATAGAGAGCTATAAATATTTCAGAATATTTTTTTTTCTGGCTGGATGGCACAGATGATTACAGGCATGTTTTCCCCTCTTTGAGGGTAGATGCATTCTCTTTAAAGTCTTATCTGCCTGGTATAACTCCTACTCCATGTTGTTTTTTTTAAAAACCCTCAAAATGGAGGGTAAAGAACCAGACTGTTCATATATTCAGCTCAAGTTATGTATGCCACTGACATAGCTATCTTCTCCTGACCTGTATAAATCACATACAAAACACTGTAAACCAGACTACAAACAATGAATTCTCCTGCTTTTATACCAACAAGGACCATTTCTTTTGTTTCAACATCTGTTATTTTACTTTAGTTCTATTTTGGGGATATGGTGACATTCTTTCAAGAGAGTTCTCATTTAGAGAGATGTTGCTTTGTCTTTTCTCAAAAAAGGCCTGCCTGGCAGTGCTTTTTGAACTTTGAAAAATTAAAAGTGGCTGCTGCTATAAAACAAAAAGCCCTATTTGCCATTCACTAAGGATCACTACTACAGTGAGCAGTAACATAATATCAGCTGAAGAACACTACACAGAATGGCTCAACTATTCTTCCAGCAACTCATTTTATTTATATGCAATAGTAAGAAATAATATTCCATCAATATTTGTGGTCCAATTTGTGGGCCCTACTGGAGAGCAGAAATTTGAGATAATATAGAAATAGGACAGTTGAATCCCGTCGGTCAAAGTACTATGAAAAGGTGAGATGGATACAAAAAGGGCTCACATGGTAATGGTAATGGTGAATTCATGCCACTGGTCATGATGCAGAGAAAGGATGTTGTCACTGACAGGACCTTGGTGGAATTGAATTTCCCAGATAAGTAACTCAGCGTGGCCTAATTAGGCTTTAGGCTTATACTCAGCTCAATGTTCTCAGACACAACATGACCAGATAAGAATTGTTATTGCACACTAGGAGAAAAACTGTGAAACAGTTGGTTGCCCTCTGTTGATATGAAGGTGCAATACCAGCTGGAGTTTAAGTTCAGCCGTTCTTTATCCCACCCCTCACATTGCTTAACAGACTTTTTGCTCTGCTGCTCTTGGCCTTGACATTGGGCAATAGCTGATTGTTGACAGAACTGATACTTCAGCCCTGAGAAATTTTGGCTCTTGAGTTAAATCCCACAGCTTCATTTGAACATTCTGTCCAGGCTGACAAAATACTTCCAGTTGATTTGTCCATTTGTCATATAATCTGTGAGTAGGGAAGGGGAGAAAAATATACATCCACTCTAATACACACTTCAGCTTCAACTCATCAGTGACGGAAAGCACTGAATGTTTGCAAAACTGAGCTAAGACATTTTGGTGCTTCACAGTGAAATATCCAAACATTCTTTAGTCTGCATTCATTCTGGTGGTGCTTCATCAGAAAAATGTTTTTGTCAGTTTTATTACATGGGTTAGCCTATCTCTCACTATTCATTTCTAAAAGCTCTCAACTCTGCTTATTGAAACAACTGCCTTTCTCATGATAGATCCACTTCTAAACCAGTTCCTCTAATGGGGACCTATCCTTATGATGAGTGATAAATGCATGCTGAAATCATATACAAGGCTTTCATTTTGAGCTAGCTGGTAGAATGTAGGAGATACATTTTCACAATTTTGCGATACCAGCAGGTACTGTGATGTGGTACATCTTTTCTGAATCAATGCATTTACTGAGCTCATTTCTAAGCTCTGCAGGACAGAATTACAGCAAAGAAGAATCTGGTATTTTTCAGTGAAACTGTTGGAAAGGTCATGCAAGACTTTCAGCAGAGCTATTCAAATCACCCAAGATCCATTCTGAATTATCAGTTTGGATCAATTTGAATAGTCAAATCAAATTGATTGAATCTTCATCATACATTTGATTGGATAAAAAGTGTCTTTCTGCATATACAAAGGTCAAATCAATTCAAAGGTGCCCAATTTGATTGGATGCATCAATTTGATTCAGCAATTGGAAGGGGGATTCAACTGAATCATTTTCAAATCAAAGCTTGGAATTGACATTTTCATACAACCCTAGTTTTCAACAATCCTAATGAGCTCATCTTGGAAATATAGTGTCAAAAATATTGCTTCCTTTCCTCTTTTTTTCCTCCGTCTCTGCCTAGCTTCTGATTAATGATTCAGGACTTCTGTTTTGGTTCATAATGAAATAGCTGCCTCTCTGAGGTCCCCTGTGAGGCACCCTTTCTTTCCATATGTGAAGCTGCAAAACTGGGGCACAATTCTGAGCATGTTAATCTGCTCTTTTCAGGTTGGGAGAGCATTTCTGCCTTATTACAGCTGCAGAGGCTGTTCTGAGGAAAGCCAATCAATGAGAAATATGACTGTCAGCTGCTAAATATAACTGGATATTGTATCTTGCACTTATTATGCACAAACAGTTTCTTGGCATTCTTGGTATGGTATGTTCCTGGAGACCATCTGTAAGTTGACTGAGGCCATCTGTTTCAGAGGTGTAATTAGCCACCTGCTAGGGCTCTCCTGGGTTCAGAAGCAATTATTCTAGAATGGCAAGACTAGGAGCAGCATCTCATCTTTAGTAATCACAACCATCTTCTGAAAAATCATAGCATCTGCCCTCTGGAATGAGATCTAGATGGCTCCCACCCTGTGGGTGTTCTGAACACCCATAAAGACCTGGCTGTTCTCCATTGGCTAGAGTGGTTGGTTTCCCTTTCATTGGATGCCAGTTTTTGGTGGCAGGG